GCATTTCTACTACAAGGTTTCCTTAGCACCGTTGTAGAGGGGTGGAAGTGGTAGTGGTGCATGGAACAGCGATAGATGAGACCAGTAAAGGCACCTCACTGGGTGGGATAAGAATGCTATGCTATATAAAGACACTTGTATTTTACTCTGAAAACAATGAAGAAAATTAAGAGAAATGTGTGTAGAAATGTGTGTAGAAAATGACAGCTTATCTGACACTATAAAGATAAATTTTATAAAACTTTAATGTCAGACATATGTGTGCATGTTGTTGTTGCTAACTGCCATTGAACTAGTTCCAATTCATAGCAACCCTGTATAGATAGTAGGTTTGAACTGTGGACCTTGTGGCTCACAGTCCAGTGCTGACCCAGCAGAGCCACACCAGGAGTCCTGTGTGTATACGAGGTTGCAAATAAAATGAATTTGTTACTATGGATCATGATAAAAAAAAAAAAAAAAAGACTGATACATAATGAGGTAGGTGACAAATAACTGACTAGATGTAAAGAGTGAGGAAAAGTCAAGAATGACTCCCAGGTTTTCCATGTGGGCGCCTAAGTGGATCACAATGCCCCTGATTAAGATAGGGAAGAGAGGAGGATATCTGCTTTTATCAAGTCCACGTGAGGATATGGAACAGCCCAGACAGTGACCTCTCAGCAATTTTCAGCAGCCACAATCAATACTAATCTTGTTGAGCAAAGACAAAGGGCACATAGTCATTGCAGCTGCAAGCTCACATGAATACACACAACTGATAAGGCTGTCTAAAAACTGGGGAGGTTCCAGAATATGATTTACACAGTTCTCAATCTCATACAAGGAGCCATAGGAGCACAGTGTCTAAGTGCTCAGTTTCTAACTAAAAGGTCATAGTTTGAATGCCCCAGTCACTATGTGGGAGGAAAGATGTGGTAGTCTGCTCACAGGAAGATTGACAGCCTTAGAAACCCCATAAAGTAGTTCTGCCCTGTACTACTGCGTCATTATGAGTCTCAACTGACTCAATAACAATGTGTTGGTTTTAGGGGCTTTACAAATCTCTATCACTTTAGATCCAGAGAGGGAGAGCAACTGTGTGCTGAAGACTGGGGGAAGGGGTACTGTAGGGGGCAGGCTTGTAGGGTATACCCTTTGGTTGGTTGATGATGCATGGAGGGGATTGTAACCATGGCAATGATACGATATATGATAGAATGAATGTAAAACTAATGTTCTCCCATGTAAACTATCATATAATTCACAATAAAACACTGAAAAAAAAATCTCTTATCAATAGAAACACTTTGGAATCAGAGAAGGCAGGCAGAGTAGGAAAAACATCAATACTTCCCTCCATGGAACTATTAACAGGATTTGAGAAACCTTGGTGCCTATTGTGAGAGGCAACAGGGAGTCACCACCTTTGCTAAGTCAAGTACATTCTCTGGAAAGCCCGCCACCAGCATTTAAAATTTTAATTGGGAGGGAGGGTTGCTTCTACTTTCATAACTTGTTTTGTAAGCCTTCCCACCTCTCCCTCACACCATCACCTATAGGGGGCACTTATATGCCAATCCCTCTATCTCTAACAAGTCTATTTAGTCTTATAATACTGAATTTGGATGTCCCTTGGTCAGTCTCCTGGAGCTTCAGACTAAGAGATCAGCGCTAGAACATACCTTCTCCATGGCCTTGTGGATCCAATACTCCTCCTAAGTCTTTTAGCCCTCAGAGAAGAGTTTTCCAATTCTTTTTAGAGGATCACAGCAAAACTGGGTCCCAGGTTGTGGAACAATATACACTTGTCTGGGGATATTCATCAGCTACACGCTCAATTTTATGATATAAGTAATTCTCAAAGTGAACACTGCATGGCTACCTATTTGCTACCCATGCTAGAGAATAAGATTCCCTAGGAACTGGATTGAACCTCAGCATAGTGATCCTGCTTGGTCACCTTAGAGCAGGTGGTGGGCCGGCAACGTCGGGCGCATGGGGTCCCCAGCTGATCTCCTTCCTCCCTGCCTTCCTCGGATGGCGGCTGTTTATGCTGGACGTGTGGCCAGAGACGGGTAAGGATCACGTGGAACCTCGGCTACTTGGGACAGAGACATTGCCATGCTGCAATGAGTCTCAATGACTGGTAAGACTGAGGAATTCGCACTGACCACCTAAGACAGGCAGCGTCCCTTAAACAATCAATAAAAAAGGAGGACTCAGATGCAGACAGCACAGATCCGGTCAGGAGGCCAAGCCCCTGTGGGCCCAAGCGTTGTTGACCGCCCAAACCATAGGCTCTGAGGATCAGACTCTAGCTACCTAGTAGACATAACAAACTGTCCCTCATCTGATTATTCAGTAATGCTTGTTAGTAATCTCATACGTGAGCCCTGGATATCCACAGACAAATGTAAAAACCTCCCCTAAAAGCCGAGACTGTAAATTCCAATAAGCCAAGTCCCCCCCGATCCAAAAAAAAAAAGCTAAAGAGGATAGAGAGAAACACTGTAAAATGATGATATATAGCGGGGATAATAATCAATGTAATGAAACAAGCTATATGAATGGTTGAATGTGAAGCTGATGATGTGCCCTGTAAACTTTCACTCAATGCAAAATAAAAACATTTAATTTAAAAAAAAAAAAAAAAAAAGTTTGTATTTGCTAAGAAAGAAAGAAAAAAAAAAAACTGGGTCCCACTTTTCTGGTATTTCTAGTACACTCCTCCACAATCCTGCCCAAGACACTACAGACCACTGGCTGTCCTCAAATACTCCATGTTCTTGTGCATGTTATTTCTTTTGCTCTAACATGCCCTTGCTTTCTGACAGAAATCCTACGCACCCCTTCACAGTGCACCTCAGCTGTCATCTCTACCACAGAACCACCCTTTATGCACCCACCCGACTCCAACCTAGATCGTCACACTTCTTGGGCTTCCACAGCATATGCTCACACTAGGGCACAGCATTTTGTTCATTCTCTCATCCATTACTGATGACAACAGTTAGGCCTGCTTTCCCCTAAGCTATGTTTCTTGAAGGTAAAGAGTATGTCATATTCTTCCTTCAAAGGCCCCACAGTCCTTAACATACAGTAGAGCCTCATTAAGAATTTGCTGACTCAAACTGAAAAGCTATTGATTCATTCCATCAGTGTCTCTAGATCAACAGAATTAAGGGAAGGGAAAAGGACAAAGTGGAGAACAAGTGTACATTTAAGCAAACCACTTCTCTCCTCGAACCAAACTGGTAGTGGTACTCCCCACTCTCAGAAATTAAACCAACTTCAGCACAAAGAACTAAAGCGGCATGGTTTGGAAATGGTGGCTAACTTAAAGAACTAGAAGTAGTTCCAAGGTTCTCCAGCTGCTGCTATTAGTAAGGTATTGACCTTGGGATGTGGTCACAGGGATTCTATATTTTCTTTTGCTATCCACTCCCTCTAACACTCTACGACCTGTAGCTATATGGGCAATAAAGAGTCTTTCATACAGGCACTGAATATTATCTTTGAGCTCCTATGGGAACAGCCTAATCCTCTTTTCAACCCTCCCACCTTTCCAGTGAATAATTCCACAGTGCCACCTCGGCAGTTTTCTCCTCTTGAAAAAGTAGTTTTCTTTTCAATATATCCAGCTTCCCTCTCTGGCCTTCCTCTCTAACCTTCTCCATTAGGAAAAATGGGTGGTAGCTTGCATTCTCGGCTGCCTGACTAAAGGACATGGCACATTTTAAAAAACTAATATGTACATGGGGTCCTGGTGTAGCACTGGACTGCTAACTACAAGGTCAGTAGTTCAAACCCACCAACTGATCCTCAAAAACCCTATACAGGGTCTCTATGAGATGGAATCGACTCAAGAGTGCTTAACAATATATAGATAATTCCACCTACTAAGCATTTTGATAGTTGTGCCTTCTCCATAATCCCATGAGCACTACATACTCACATATATTAGAGAACTTAATTAGTCATTCTAATTTGTAAATAACTATTTCATATGCCTTATCTCCCTCACTAGACCGTGAGCTTCTTCAGAACTATCCCTAGTTCCTAGCAAAGAGGCTGGGAAATACTGTGCACTCAGTAAACTATCAGTTTGAAAAAAAAAACCAGCATAAAATAAACTACCATCTTAGGTCCTTGAGCCAATCTCCATGACTATGTGAGTTCAGTAGAAGAAACATTTCAGAGGTGATCAGAACCAAAACATCTTTATAGAGTAGCCAGTCCTGTGATGCAAAGTCTCAGCTGAAGGCAGTCTCAAACAAGGCTCCTTTTGACAAGGCAGCCATTCCCCACGTTCCTCAGATACTCACTATGGTCAGAGTAGTAAACTTAGTTCTCCAGAATTTACTTTCCCAAGATCTGGCAACTCAATAAATACATTCCCCAGCCCCTACTTCAACGTCTCTCCTATATCCTTCTGACCTTTAATAGTGGGTAATATTAGGTGAAAAATTGATTTTTTTTGGCTACTTATTTCACAGCTGAAGAAAAAATATACTGTTTAAGGTGTTAAATATTTTTACATGCAACAAATCTAGTATGAATCTAACCTGTATGCACATTTTAGAGGTACAGGCGTAAATGTCAGTGCTATAATTTGTTATAGGTTTCTGATGACCAGCAATGAATATGACCACAGATTCTTACAATTCAAACCACTTTTACGTAAATGTGAACTTTCCTAAAACACCCCAAAAAGAGAACTTTCCATCTAAGCTCATGGAGTCTCTTAGAGATACTGATAGCACTGTCCACTGAATTAGGTGCTCTTTGAGGAAATCCTACAAATATTAGTTTCTTTCTGAGACTAAGCTTTGACCTTTATAAAAATGTGCTTCAAGACACCAGTTATGAAAATGAAAAAAAATAGTTTGTAATGACTTAACAACTGCCATTTCATAGAATCAGCCTTGCTGACAGCTATACCTTACAAGTCAGCAGTATTTAAAACAAACAAACAAAAAAAAAACATTTGGTAATTTTACTTAAAATTATGAACTTACCAGACATGAAGTAGGGTTATAAGAAACCATGAATTGAACGTATCAGGAATCTGACACCCTAGAAAATAACAATAAAGTATAAATATGTGAGGACTAAGAGGAAGTATACTATGTGTTAAATATTGGAAAGAATTTGTTCAGCTAAAATACACAGCAGCTATAGTGCTCTGTGATTATGCTATTAGAGATGGACAATGGTACCACAGGGCAAGAGCATTGACTGCAGTCAGCTAGCCAACCATCTTGTTCTAGTCCCATTATACTTTGCTCTATGGCCTTAGACAAATCATTTCTTCCTGAACCTCTGTTGTTTCACTAGTTTAACGTGGCCTAGGAAATCCTTCCTTGTCTTGAATTCTTATTAAAAAACTAGGCAGACACTATTTCATCTATCTCACTTAAGCTTAGGCTTTTTCACTTGAGCCCATCTGAGAAGTCTCAGTCCTTCTAGTCTATGTGTGGTGCTGTACGATCAGTACCGGACTGCGAACCATACGGTTGGCAGTTCAAGCCCACCAGCTGCTCCTAGGAAACCCTATACAGGGTAGCTATGAGTCAGGATTGACTCAACAGCATTTAACAACAACAATGTGCTATGGAGATCTCAGTGTGTTCAACGAGTTACTCACAGGAAATGACCAGGAAAAAAAAGTAAGGCTTTAGGGGACTGGGCATAATAAATAAGAAAGCAGACCATATCTAATGAAACAAAAACTGGGCAGGCAGGGCTTCTCAGTTTTAAATTTCACAAGTCATCCAAGCCTCTCCAGTCTCAGATCTCTAAAAAAGGACTGGCTAAGGGCCTCTCACTGAATGTGCCTCTTTGTTACATGACAGGAGACAAAGCTGGAGCAAAAGAATGAAGAAAAAAAATAATTAATGAGATCTGGGCCCTTCATGTAGAATCTGTCCTTTGGGGCAATAACTTAGGAATAAATGATATCTTCTGCCTTTTAGCTATCAGTGAAATAAACAATACACTAGATGAGTGGTACACATCCACCGAGGTGGACTGCCACTGTGTCTGCAACAATGTGCTCACACATAACAATTGTGAGGGTTGTGCAGTACTGGGTAGTGTTTCAATCTGGGCAGTGTGCATGGGGTTGCTATGTATCGGAGCGGCTCAATGGCACCTAGCAACAACAGGAGATAAAACACAGGACAGGACCTCTGTAACGTAAGGCCCAAAATGACAAAACCAAGTGCTGTTGAGTCAATTCTGGCTCATGGCAAACTCCATGGAAGTCAGAATTGTGCTCCTGAGGCTGTGATCTTTGAAAACCAAGCCTTTCTACTGAAGCACCTCTGGGTGTGTTTGAACTGTCAACTAACAGTTTAACCCTTTGCACCACCCAGTGACTCCTGAGGAACATGAACAGCACTACTAATAATAGTGAGTCGTGGTGTGGTGCTGTAGGATAAGCCCTGAACAACCAACCTTCTCAGAAATCCTATACAGGGTCACTAGGACTCAGAACTGACTTGGTGGCACTTGACAATACCAATAATAATAAAGAATGTAATTCATTGTGGGCTTACTATGTGCCAGGCATTATATAGTTGGTACTTTACATGCATTAACTTAATGAATCCTACCAAGAACCTTATGGGGTGGGTATTAAAATACCCCATTTTACAGGTGAGAAAACTTTTAGGACAATTGCTCAAGGTCATGCAGTTATGAACTAAAACAACTGGCATCAAATTCAGATGTACTTGATTCCTAACACTATACTCATAATCACTACTCTGCTTCTATGCCTATAATATCAATATCAGAAACTAACATTCACTAAGGGCCCATATGGATGCCAGGCTACTGTTAGTCATGTTAATACAGATCTCACTTAATCCTTACTTTAATGCTGGAGTCAGGCATTATAACCCCCATTTTAGAGATAAGGAAATGGACTCTAAAAGGCCACATAATTTCACGCAGAACAGGGGTTTGAATTCAGATGTGTCACAAAGTGACACCAAAATACTCTAGTGAGCTTACTGGGTGGTGCCCAGCAGCTGTCAGTGGACTTCCTTTCAGAGCCCAGCAGGAGAGAGGTAAGGCTGGCCTGGCCAGCCATATAGCTATTAAGACACATGCCATCTGAGAGCAGGCCAGCCACTCTCCACCTAGAACGAGAATAGCCATGAGAAACTCTCAAGCCCGGATACTGAAGTTGGGTCTTTTTTGGAGGCTAGAACAAAACATTAAAAAGAAAAGTTTTCTTGGAAGTCTGTCTTTCAATTTGGAAAATGAAATTTGGCCGCTTCTAAAGGACAATCTGTTCAATTGCTACCTCTACATCAAAGCTTCTCAGCAGCCTCCAGGAGCTTTTCCAATTTTCTCAGAGAAGGAATCAGTTCTTGGGCTGAAAAGCACAGACAGGCAGGCCAGCAGCTGGACTTGGGTCACAATTTTCCCTTCAGGGGGTCAATTCGGAGCTGAGGATAGGAAAAGAGCTAGCTTTGTAGCCATGAGGGGCAGAACAGAAACCCACAGGGTTGTGTGCCATCAAGTTGATTCCAAGTCACAGAGACCCTATAGAACACGTAAAACTACCTCATAGAGTTTCTAGGCTTGAGTTATGGTATTGGAGGAGAATACTGAAAGTGCCATGGGCTGCCAAAAGAACCAACAGACCCATTTTGGAAGACGTGCATCCAGAGTGCTCCTTGGAGGCCAAGATGGCCAAACTTCATCTCTCATACTTCGGATACATTGTCAGGAGGGATCAGTCACTGGAGAAGGATATCATGTTTGGTAAGGTGGAGGGTCAGAGCACAAGAGGAAGACCCCAAAGCAGCAGCATTGATGAATTCAAGCATGGCAACAGTAGTGAGGTTGGCCCAGGATCGGGCAGTGTTTTCGTTGTGCTGCGTATAAGATCGCTATGGGTTGGTACCGACTCGATGGCACCTAACAACAACAACAATCTTTAAGAAGCAAACTGCCACATCTTTTTACCGTGAAGCATAATGTGAGTTTGATCCCCCAACCTTTCGGTTAGCAGCCAAGTGCTTATCCACTGTACCACAAGGTCTCCTGATCGACAGCGCAAAGCCTTAAAAAAAAAGGATCACTAAACGTTGACTCTAAGCAAGGCAAAAATACAGCAGATTACGCAGATCAATGAAATGTCTTTACTTCAAAGACTCTGCTACAGTCTTTTGTCATGACTGCACTCTTCCTCCAATGCAAATTCATTTTAATACGTTATATTCTGAGGCTTTTTGCAAACCCTAGGTGAAAGAAATAATTCATTCCTGCTATTTGGAAGACAGTATTAACACAGTTTCGTAATTCAGGCTTTGAAACCAGACTGCCTCATCCCAATCCTTGACTCTAACTCTTTAACTGCTATGTGACTCTGGGTAAAGTTATTTAGTCTCTCAGTGACTCCGTTTTCTTCTTGCAAAAATGAAGATAACAAAGAGAATCACCTTATAAAGTTTTTGTGAAGACTGAAATTTTTAGCACAATGGTTAACACTGTACTCAACAAATCTGTCTTAGAAGAACCACAGCCAAAATGCCACTTAAAAGTATGTATGGCAAAACTTCCCCTCTCTTATTTTGGGCATGTTGTCAGGAGGGACCAGTCAGTCCCTGGAGAAGGACATCATGCTTGGTAAAGTGGAGGGTCAGCAAAACAGAGCAAGTCCCTTGACAAGATGGACTGACACAGTGACAACAACAATAGGCTCAAACATAACAATTATGACGTTGGTGCAGGACCAGGCAGTGTTTCGTTCTACTGGCCATATGGTCACTATAAAGGTCACTATAAATTGGAAGCAAATCAATGGCACCCAGCAATAATAATAAATACTGGGATCCCTGGTTAGTACAAATAGTTAACATGGTTGACTGCTATACTCAAAAATGTATACAAGTTTGAGTCCACCCAGATAAGCCTCAGAAGATAAGTCTGGCAATCTACTTTTGAAAAATCAACCACTGAAAACCATATAGAATACAACACTCATGGGCCACAACGAGTTGAAGTAGACTTGAGGACAACTTGGTTGTTTCCCCCCACCTAAAAAAAAATTAGCTATTGTTTTTCACTGAATTATTTACACATGAGGGTTTAAATTACCCTTTAACAAACTCATTAGTTACTTAAGATTATGTCAGTAATGAGACCAAGATTTCCCCTCTAACCACTCATTCAGAAGTCATTTACTAAGAAGTCTCTGCTCCAAGGCAACTAGTGTTTTAGGGGCTAAAGACAAAATGGTCCACAGACAACACTGTACAATTAAACACAAGCTTTGTTTATAGTTGATTTGCCACCTTTGCACTAAAGTAATCTTCCTAGAAAAACCAATCTCCGAAAGACCAGTCAACAAAGCACTGCATGCTCACAGGAAGCACATTCATTTATGCCACAAATGACATCATCAGAACATTTTGGAAACAATGGGTTGGTTGTAAGGTATCTCACCAGTCAAAATCTCAAATATCCAGCTTTCTGGGTCCTAGACTATTGAACACATTGGTTCTGAGATCAAAAGACTCTCTAACTCTGCCAGTTTATGGAGGCCTGCCTAAAGCCTTGACAGCTAATGTTTGCCAAAGCACCTCTGTAAGTAAACAACTTTCTTTTACAGTCTTCCTGAAGGGAGGTGAAAGGATGACAATGGCCAGCTCCCTGAGGCTCTCTATTCTTTTAGAAAATTACTGAAACTTTCAGGACTATACAAGTTCAAAAATACTAAAAATCCAAGTGAGCAATGAATGACCACTTTAAAGGTCTAATTTTGACAAAAGATATATACAGTCTCTTCTCTTAACCCCAAACCTGTCAAGTCTCTTACTTAAAACTCACGCTGCAGAAATGCCAGACTCATTCATTTATAGTCCTTATCTTCTGCCTCCAGAAGGTACACTCCAGATTGGTTTCCTTTTTATTCACTAGCCACAGACAAACAAACCACTTTGGTTTGATTTTAAAAATGTAATCCACCCAAAAACAAAAAAGTCATGCCACAATGGAGCATAGTGCAGATGAATTTGTATTGGTCTTAAAGGCAAGCCTAAAATTGAGAGCTAAAG